GCATAGTGCTGTTTAGCTGAGTTCCAATCGTGACAGTTAGTATGGTCTAACATGATGACTCAAAGTGGTTGATGACAAGAAATAACAAACTAATTCAACTAGACACGTGCAGAAAGGGACATGGAGCACAGGCAGAGATACAGGCAAAGCAGGGTGACTATGGGCAGAGTAACAGAAGAATATAGTGGGGAACAAAGAGAACTAATGAGCCTGTATACTGAGGCAAGCATAAAGAATGACATACAAAATGTGGAGATTGGCAAAGGAGAATGAAGGCAGTGCAGCTGAGGGATGAAGACTGACACAGAAATAGCTGGCTGAGACATACTGTAGAGAGATTCTCACCAAAGGAAAAGTTGTCTACGGTATTATTACCATCTCTTGTACTAAAAGTATTCCTTGATAATTTATTTTGTTTATCCGCCCTATCTTCTTAAACTTTCAAGCTCAAACAATACATAAATTCATTGAACTAAACACTGAACTCAGAGTTATAAATCCAATAACACAGTGGACAGAACACTAGGCTAAATAAGGAAACTAAACAAAGGATTATGAACTAATAACATAAATAAACATCATGGAAATACTAAAACCTAAATACAAAAAAAAAAAAAAAAAAAAAAATAATCTGAACAATTTTTTTATTGTTCTAATGATGGCACTAGTGGCTTGTTTTTCTGACAGTAGGCCGACAGGAAAGGAGGTTTGAGAGAGGGGGAGACACATGCAGGAAAGGACCCACATGTCTCTTGCTGGACTGAGGCCAGTTTTTGAACCGCCGGTCACCCGCGTCAAGGACTAAGGCCTCCATACATGGGTCGTGCACACTAACCAATGCGCCACCTGCACGCCCAATAATCTAAACACTTCTTAAATTGGTTATGATATGAAATATTTTTTTCTTGATGTCAATAGAAGAGTCAAATCTTAATTTGACTTGCTCTGTAATGGCAGTATAACTTCCAACATGACTTTGCTGATTCTAATAATGTATTTATTTGTTGTTTATAAGGGAGTAAGGGGTGGAGTAAAGTTAGGCAGGAAGGTTTCATCTGTTACCCACCATCCTGCTTAAACATTTTATTTTTATAATTCAGAATAGCTAAAGTATCAATAATTGGCACATGGAGCCAATGATTCAAATGGGCAAGCAGCAATGGTATTTGTAACCATGAAAAAAAGCATTTTTAAAACACAGACTAGCTGACATTTACTCATAAATTGTTGTAAGTAACATGTGCAGCATAAAAAAAAGAGTAAAAAAAATTATCAAGAAAAAAAAGCAAAGTAATATTAAATGTAGAAAATTTCAAAGGTCCAGCGTTAGTTAAAATATTTTCCCCCGCAACCTTTTTCTGCCTCTAGACAAAACTAGTACCTCTCATCAGTAAAATTAAACTGTAACTTTGATGTATCAATATAACAATGCAAAAACTAAATTACCACGAAGCTTGTTAGGAAATAAAATCCTTTCTGTATTTTCTGTACAAACCATGTCATCATAAATTAAATTTTTTGTTAGTTTAGATAGCATTGTGTTGTTATTAAGTCTCAGGCATTTTGCCTTTCAGCACTTTAAGATGCTTTTTAAAAGTTAGATCTTGTTTTTTTTTTTTTTATCTTTTATGTTACAGAACAATTTGAATCTATTTTTGAGTTAATTTTTGCTTTGCTGCGTTCCATTGACATAGGTCTCCACTCACTACAGTAAAGAATGCAATTAAAACTTGAAATCAGACCAAAACAGTCTCAGATTAGCAGAAAAAATCAGCTAGCAGACCAGCATGATCGCAGGTGGTTATCAAACACATAGTAGCAGCAACAACTCTGCATAATTGATTTGAATATCAGTGAATAATCATCAGTCCAGAGGGTTACTTCATAAGCCTCCCTCAAAAATGCCAGACTTTCCTTTCTGACTTAAGTGAATCGTGATTACTGGGTGTCACCAAGAGTAAGACTTACTGACCAGATGTCACTGATTTAAGATAGATTTTAACTAATCAGTGTGTCTGTGTACAGATTATGCACACAAAGTTAATTGAACACAATGGCAAACATGATCATGCACCATATTTCACTGAAAGATACTCATCAGGAGTTAATACATTTTAAATAGTTACTTTAATTGAAAAATAAAGGGAAACACTATTGAAAGCGTGGCAGTGACGTTGGATGCAAGAGTTTGCCCTGCAATCGGAGAGTTGTCGGTTTAAGCCCCGGTTCTGGCTTTTAGTATTGTTGTGTCCTTGAGCAAGACATTTCACCTGCAACGTGTACCAATGGTAGTCAGAGGGCCTGGTGGTGCCAGTGTAAGGCAGCCTAGCTTCTGTCAAGCTGCCAGCCACTATCAGTGTGTGGGTGTGTGTGTGTGAATGACTGAATGTAGTGTAAAGCACTATGGTCTCCTGGCTTGAAAAAGAGTTACAAACGTACATGCCATTTATCATTACTAAAAGTATGGTAGGCCAGTGCAGATAGATTAAATGTGTAAGTTAACCTTGTTTTTATCATACTCATAATTTGAAGAGACATTTCCAAGTTATATAATCAACGTCATGAATTGTTTTGGCTGTAGTCTTTTGTGTTATGGTTCTTATTTGTTGTGACTCTGAGTTTTCAGTTTTCTGTTATCAGTTGTTTTGTTTTTATTTTCCATGATCTTCAAGCATTCTTTAGTTACTCTCTGTTGCCCCCTTGTGATTGTTTTCTTTTCCCTTGGATTCCCTCTTGCCAGTTCCACCCACACCTGCTCTCCATTCAGCTCGTTAGTCCATCCTTTTGTTTGGTTGTCCTTAAATACTCCACCTCTGCAGTCTCTCAGTGTTGGTTCCTTCTTGTTGCTGTATAATCTACTCTGCTCGTCTCTCCTCGGTTCCTCAGATTCGTTTTTCCCCTGATGTCTCCATGATTTTGGTTTGTTTTATATTTTAAGTTGGATTTCTGGATTTCTGCCTCTGCTACAGATTGTCTGCTATTAAACCTCTCAGAACTCATCTCTGCTTCCCTTGTCTCTGCATCTGGGTCCTCAAGCAACCTCACCACCCATTGTTGACATTTTGATTAAAATGACAAAAGATTTTAGTGAAGATTTAGTCAAATGCTTTTGCATGATTTAGTTTTTATATCTGTTTTCAATCTGTAGATTTTTGTTTTAGCCCCATGAACTGTTTTTAATCCTGATTTTAATCAGTAGGAATTGTGCTTTGAGAAAAAAGACACAATGTTGGAGTTGCCAATATTAACAGTGTTTTCCCCACATTTGACTCTTTCAGTATTTACACCAGCAGTTGGATCCACAAACGTGCACAGGAGAAAATTAAGTACAAAAACCTCATTTAGACTGTTAAGCTGATCAAGGCAACAAAAAATTATTATATGACACTATCTAAATTGTAGCCAAAAAAAAAAGCAATGTAACAAAGACTGGGGGACATCCGCCCTCACCCAATTTTACGCTGCTGGCAAAGAAGTGCAGATCTATTTAAAGTGTCTGGGAAATGGTTAGGGCATGATTCGAGCTATTCTGTTGAAAAGCTGAGGTCCAATTAAAGCAGTCAAGCAAATTAAGTTTCCTCAAGAAAATCTGTAATGTATATTCATACAGATACAGTAAGTGTCAGAGTAGACAAAGGGTAATTTCGATCTCTGAAAAAAACGAGATGCTTTAAGAGCTTGATATTCTTAAAACTGCCGCTCCCTCCTCCACCACCACCTCTGTAAATGAACAGGCCATCTCTGATGCACATGTCCTTCTGGGTTTGGGCAACGCTGTTTTTACAAAGCCAAATAGACAAAATATTCAGATATTTTGTATATATCATTTATAAGTTCCATATTGTGTATGTTTTTGCTTAATTAAAAAAAAAACCTTTGCAGGAAATAGTGGAGGTTCTTTGCGAATTTCTAAAAAGCCCTTTTCACTTAAAAAAAAATGCACATGCACTACCCTGTAACCGCTCCAGAGAGGGAACACCTATTAAACGCTTGCCAGTTTGTGTTGTGAAAACTGTTGTAAAGGACACCAGAATAAAAGAGATTTATTCAACATTAACAAGATGGAGTGCTGTCTAACCAACTTACTCCCATTTACACCGTTCTTAAATCAGAGGACACTTTATAAAAAAAAAAGTTTACAGAAAATTTTTTCATGTAATGTTTGGCATAGGTTTATAGGTTTAGAGCCCTATCAGCAAGTATTTACCTTCACCAAATACATACAATTTTGATACATTTTTTAATGTTTTATAAAATATTCAAACCAAGGTTATGGAGATGAGAATAAGGCATGATTTTTAAAAGTTAGAACAACTTTTAGAGACAGACAACTGTACATTTAACAGCCTAAAATCACCCTATTATCTACAATCACACTAGATTACCGTGTTGGTTTTGAGTTGTTTTGGCAGTTTATAATTTTTTAAAAGATGGAAAAAGGGGCCAAAACAGTTTTAAAGTTTGGTAATTAAATTCCGCATTGAGGACTATAGCCTATGTACAGTATGTGAGGTCTAATAACGATGCAGCATTGCAGTGCTAGATAAGGGTTTATTCTGATGTGACAGTGGGTTTGATGACCAGGCAGAGTTTGTTGCAGTGTTGAAGTGTTTCTAAGTTTATTTCACTTAAGCAAAATAATGAAGTCATCTTTTAAACAAAATAGTTTAAATGGGTTTGTACAAAAAAAAAAAAAACATGACAATCACTTATGCATTTTAAAACTGATAAAAACTATTTACAGTGGAATAACAGGTTCCTGTTTGTCTGAAGATAACACTTTGATTGGTGTGATCATTATTCAACAAGGATGTGTGGTTGGAAATATTAAATATATAAATATTTTCACACTTGATCTTCTACTATCTGTGCCTTGATCTGTATGCTATGCTCATACAGGCTTTAAAAACACCTTTGGGTTTCAATTTTTTTTGTCTGTGATGAAAACAAACATTTATATGCATGATGAATAATTATTTTCCTCTTTCACTCTGTTTCAGATCCAGTCATCAGAAGGACGGCAACTTGTCGAGGAATATCATAAGAAGGATTCAAAGAAAAAAAGGTTGAAGTAACAGGGTACAGGTTCACATCAGTCATTATTGATATCATATATCACATTATTGTTACCGAATAAGTTTACACATAGTCATTTACTGCAGGTCCCATAATGGTTTAATGTGAAGAAAAAATGCAGTATGACCATAAATTGCTCCACAACATGTGTTATTAATAGTATGACTGTTGTCATTCAGGCACAAGTGGTCTTCATTACCACCAAGTACATTTGTTCGCACATAGGTAATAACTCCAACACTTATTGTTTTGGGGTTTTTTTGTTTTTTTTTACTCATGATAGTTTAACTTTTAAAGTCATTTTAGATATTGCTTTAAACCAATCCTCAGTATTTTCCAGGCTTCTTTATAAAAGCATCTCCATCCTTTTTTAATAGTTTGACAAAAAGAATGGAGATTTGTGAAAATATCAGATATATAACCTCATTTGTGCCCCTGTCTGTATTAGTTTTTGTTCTGCAGTGTCACCATAAATATTGGCATCTTGAACGGTTTCCTGCTAATATGTACAATGGTAGACCAGGATCTGAATGAAAAGCCGTAAAATCCCACACAAGAATAAAGGGAAAAAAATGAAATAATGCATATTCTTCACTTTTCCCCTCGTGTGTTCCTCTCACTTTTCGGGGGCAGGGAGGGTCTTTATATTTTGTATGTGTACATAAAGCAATTCAAAATCTATAGTTTTGTACATGTAATTTTTATGGTGTGTGGATATTTTCTAATAAAATAAAACAAAATGAGTTACTCCTTCCCCGAGTGGCTGGTGTTTCCTGGCTGTCTGTAATGACTGTCTTTGTGTTTCATCATGTAATGGTTGTTTTGGTGCAATGATATGGAAAGGTATAATTATCCTCTTGTAAAACACTGGGTAATTGTGAGATGGAACAATAGTTTACAGACAATTTATTTCAATATTGTCTGGGGTAATTTTTGTAAATACAAATTTGAGAGTAATTGTTTGTTTTTTCTGTTCATTATTGTTGGATCCAACAAACGTTTCACAAATGATTAGGATTATTAACATTTAACTGCCCATCCTAAAAAGTTGAAAAAAAAATCTAATGCCAGAGGACATGTACAGTAATGCCACAGTTAATGACATACAGTAAATGGTTACAATATAACTTCAAAACAGCACTCTCAGAATACAATTTGGGGATTGTATTTTTTCTCTTTTATGATGGGAAAAGGGAATCGCAGCACATGAACTAATTTCTGGTAAAATGGTTTGCCACACAGACAGCGGTGAAAAACTGAATTTTTCTGTAGTTATCTTTCAGCCACTATCGGAGAGAGACAAAGCAGAGTCAGAACGTCAGCTGTCATTGGATGAGCACAAGTTTGGTACTCTCTATATGTTGGAGCTGCCAGCAGAGCTGAAAGCGCCCCACAGCAGCGAAACAACCCCAGGCTGAAGCAGTCGCACAGATGAGTGGCAGCAAACGCAATTTATGTTTTTAATAAATAAACAGTTGTGCAAACCAATGACTGGAATCAAAATAATGTTGTAACTATGCAGCAGCAACTTTTATATGATATTTTAATGCAAGCTGCTGTCTACCTATACAGTTTATAACTGAAATTCCCACAACGGAGTTTCCCTGTTCTGTCCTTTCTGGTCAACTGTCAAATTTTGTCAAAGAATTATACCCATTTTTTTTTTCCACAATCGTTTTTATTGTGTCTTTTATCACATTAAATGCAATACAATACATCACAATATTGCTAATTTTCTATTACATCATTATCTTTTATTTGTTTGAAATTGTGAGAAAAACATGTCATGGGCCCTTTAAGGGTTTAATTAACTTACTCAGGGTTGGGTTTAAAACTGCGGAAAATTTTGAAATTTGGATTTTGCTTTAAAATGGGTAGATACAGAAGGAAAAACATTTTTGCCGACTAGTAAATAAATCTTTAATAGTAATGAAAAATCAAAATTGATCATATTCTTTATACAATTACCATTAGTTTAAATCAAAATTATTTAAACATGTATTTAGAGTGTTGTAATGCCATTCTTCTTTGACTAAATGACCACACGTCTTAATAGTAAATACTACATTGCATTAGTCAACCCTGTCATTGTGAATTAGGGGTTATAAACTGACATCTTGGAGGCTGTAGTAGGCTAGAGTTTATGACAGGAACAGCTTCCTGAGATAATTAAATTAGTTTATTACTGCTAAATTGCTCCATGCAGAACATTGTTACACAGCAGGGCTGAGAGTGGAGCTACCAGATGCCTTTCAGATGGGTGAGTCTTCTCTCTTTTTATCTGTGGGTTGTTACGGTACTCCCATTTTTTTTAATTCTCTGTGATCTATACAGGTGGTTAACTGTCATCTTTTTGTGCATGTTTCTGTTCCTGATGCAGGGACATTTCTGGTGGATGCCAAATGGAGACAAATTACTTAAAACAAATATACATTACTCGAGGGCTACAAATCCTTAGCCATGACCTTCACATAGATAGAACATTTTAGTGAAAAAAAAAAAAAAAAAACATTTGTAAAAAAAAAAAAAGATAGGTTTGTATTGTTAGCAGACAAGACTGTCATGATCTTGGCACTGATGACTGGCTTAATTACTCATTTTATTCACCTGTCTAACTCTGTCCGGCTTCTCATCCCTGCTCATCTGATCCACCTGCCCCTGCCTCTACTTAAGTTGCTTCCAAAAAGTCATCAGTGCCAGATTATTCTTGTTTCCCCTAGCCAGTGGTGAGAGTTTTTTTTTTAGAGTTCCTTGGTGATTCTGATTTTCTGATCCTAACCTGTTCTTCCTCTCAATCATGGGGCCTGCCTGTTCCCGTCTGATCTCAGTGGCGAGTGTTTTTAGTGTACCTGAGTGTTTCTGATTACCTGATCCTGAACTGTTCTGCCTCTCAATCACTGAGCTTGCCTGTTCCTGTTCTGATCTGTTTGCCTGACCTGCCTTTGGACTCCTGGATTGCTGAGCCTGCCTGTTCCTGTTCTGACCTGTTTGCCTGACCTGGCTTTGGACTCCTGGACATCCGAGCCTGCCTGTTCCTGTTCTGAGTCATGAAAAAGACACACTTACCTGATATAAAATACCTAAATGAATCTTATCTTTTGTTTCAGGACATTCTGGAATACTAATTTTTTGAAGCAAAAACAAGAAAAAAAAATATGTATAGATTGAATTAAATTATAAGTTATAAACCCTTAGATTACAATGGTTTGAAACTATTAAAAAGCAAGGTGAGAGAATTGTGAATACCAAGAGGTTTAAATAAACTTTAAAAGCCTGGTCCCATCCTGGCCTATGTAAATAGTTCTGGCTAATGTAGGCCCTTCTAGCCCCTTAGTTACAACTGAACATATTTCAAAAGCAAAAGCCTGGTTGTATAGTTTCTCCACCATGCCTATTCTCTTTTAACCAGGGTGTAACCATGTTTTAAGGAGTTATATGAACAGGATAATGCTAAATTTTCTAAAGCTTAAAACATCGGAAACATGAACTTGACAATGTTCATTGTATGCTGGCCTCAAAAACTGCTCTGCAACATCAGCTATATCTATCTTAGTTGTGTCCTGGCAGCACCCATGTAAAGCAGCCTCACTTCTGTTAGCCATCCCCAGGGTGGATGTGGCTACAATTTAGTATGCAACCATCAGTGTGTGAATGTGTGTGTGTAAATGAATGAATGACTGAATTTAAAGTTGTTGGGCCGTTATATTAGTAACAAACTGTTGTTTCAGAATGCCCTGCAGCTTTGATGTCACATTAGAAATTACAAAACTGACCTTCAGTTTTCTCTATATGACAGCCGTCATTGTGAGGAGGAGGTCAAGTCTCAGCTCCAGCTGTGTGTGTTTTAATACTTGTGAACTATGATTTTAGGCCCCAACATCCCTCAAATTTGACACACAGAACCCTTTGCTATGATCAGCCTTCTTCATAGAGGCAATAGGGAACCTTCAATGGGGCAAAGGTAATATATACCACACTGAGCCTCAACCACAGACCAGACTCCATAAGACACAGGGCCCACCAAGATTAGATGAAGAGTCACAAATGCATTTCTGTTGGTTAGATTATGTGAAAAAGAACAGTAAAAAGTGCTTTGCAGTCCCCCGACTCGATATGTGCAATATATGTACAAGCCATATGCCACATCACCAGATCTCACTCCAAAGCACTTGTGGTGAAACAAAAGAATGACCTCATGAATGAGCAGCTGATATGCAGCAACTATGTTATGCTATCTTTTTAATATGGGCCAAGGTCTCAAATAAATTTTTCTGACACCTTGATTAATTTGTGTCATGAAAAAGTGAAACAGTTATGAAGGCAAAAGTGGGTCTAAAGCACTAAAAGGTATACTTACTGCAAGGCTGGTTAAATTATTCTTTTAACACCCAAGATTTAACTTGTTCCATAATGCCAAGAGAAAATAATTTTGCCCTACTTTTAGCACTGCATAAAGTTACTGATTACGTATAAATATATAATAAAATTAAGAAGAGGGGCAATCAACACTAGACTTTCATATTGTAATTAGTATTGCCACAGAGAAGGTATTAGTACAGCTTGCTTATTACTGTGTAACAAGCACTGACCTTTTCAACCACAAGCTGTGGTGATTAACGTTTGCACAAAACATAAAAGTACCAAAAAAGGGGGATGGAAACATATACACTCAGCCCCAGTGTGATGGACTAATAGGCTTACTTATTAGGTAATGTCAGATAATACAAAAATATATTTGGTTTTTCAGTAAAAGTATAAACATGTTTTACTCATGAAGTGCTTGTCAGTATCCCTGTTTTCATTAATAAAATAAATCATTTTTGTTATCAAAGAAAAAATTAAAAGTTTAACGGATTTACCTTATATTAACATTTTTAATTATTTTAAATAAAGAAGACCTCTTTGGCACGTCTATAAGCTACTGTCTTGTCATTAGTTAAACTTTAATTTATGATATAAACATCAACACTCTGTTAGGTTATTTGCTTGTTAACATGTGGTTAAAACTTAATTTTTAGTGACAGGGAACTTCCAAGCTGTGCATTTTTGTATTGAGTTTAATCAGGTTTAAACACAATTTATCAGTGTAATCTATCTGTTTCAATAGATGTAAGACATCAAATTGTATAGATTACTCAGTAACCCAATCAAACTCAACAGGATTTTTTTCCTGATAATTAAAGTGCTAGCACAGGATAGTATTACTATAAGCAAAAATAATAATGTAAATCTTGTAGACTGCAGACCCGGCACTGAGGTTGACAAGGGTAGTAACCCACCATAAATGTTATCTTGTTAACATACAATGTCACATTACAACACTGTTGGCTGTGGCTGTTTAAAAGCCATAAATCTATTTTTTTTCCTTTGTTTTTGTGACCCTGCGATAATTTTGTTTAATGGTGTTGTTTGTTGTGTTCTATGTAGTTATTGAAGGCTAACGCATTGAGTTATTTTCTGTCAGTATTTACTAAACAGATCAAAGAAGAAAAACAAGACAATTGACTTTGAAAAGAGTGAATACACAAACAGCATTTTTTTTATTCTTTATTATTTGCTGTTTTCTTTATTTGCAGTGTTATGGTGACATAATAAACATGTTCTTCTCCTTGTTGCTTATGAGTTTGCAGTAAAGTGATAACAGCTATTTGCATAGTTTAGGCAGGCTCAAAATATTTTTTCCCAAAGTAACTTGTCAATAGTAGCCTTAAACAATAATCAATCTTCCTGTTAGTTTTAGTGTAATGATC